CATATACTTGACTATAATAAGGCCTATTTGGACTTACGGAGTTGAGCTATGGGGCTCCATTAAACCATCGATTTCCTCTCGTATCCAATTCTTACAATCCAAAATCCTTCGTAAAATTCTCAATGCCCCCTACTTTGTTACAAATAAAACCATCCATAATGACCTTAATGTTTCTTTTGTTTCAGATCTGACCCAATCCAGATACCTATCCTTCCATAATAAACTTCAGAATCATCCCAACCCTCTCGTTTCTAACCTTGATTCCTTTTCAATTCCTGATAACCCTCCGAGGCGTCTGAAAAGAAGATGGCACCGTGATCTCCTAATGTAAACATATCGTTAGAGTGCTACCATTGGGTAGTTACTCAGCAAGTGTTTTCATGTCATTATATACATTATGTTCAAATTTACTAGCTGTATCTATTTAATACAGTTGTAAATGTCTTTAAGAATTAAAAAAAAAAAAAAAACTGAAAAAAAGGTCCGGAGATCTTGCAGTAACAATCTCATAAATAAAATAAAATTTTTAGTGGGTGATCCAATTTCTGTGACCGCGACTATATATATATATCAAAATCTGAGGAAATTCAAAATATTTATTTTGTACAAGGAAACAACTTGACCTTAATTAATTAGTATAAAGAGGCGGTTAGGTACCCTAAATGACTAATAGGAACCACACTTGAGCAGGTCCTCTAAAAGATTTTTTTTAAATATAAATAATCCTTCGAGTATCAGAGTAAATGGCAAAAGCATGTAAAGTTTCCGCCCTTTACACAGCCGGGGAGATATTAATAAGGTGACCTTATGTCACGCTATTGCTGGCAGCTCCATCAGTTTCTCACGTCAACCGTGAAATCTCCCGACTTTTGATATCTGACCATCTGTTAAGAGGAAAGAGTTGTTGCCTCCGGAAATATTTCTCGAAGGGGTGAGCTCCGAATCAGGAAAAGTTAAAAGCATTGTATTGTCAAAATAGTCACGTAACTGATCAAAACAAAAAAAGGAATTCAATCCATCAAAATCTGAGATAACTGAAATGATTAAAGACTATTTTGTTAAATGACTGTAAGGTAAGCTTTTTAACATAATTAAAGAAATATGGAATACAATAAGAAATTATAGATATTGAGGTCTTCTGTCACAGCTTTACTTATTTCTAGTATTGCACAAAATCGGTTTTGGTCTTGCACTTTGCAAGACCAAGACCAAGGCCGCGTAACCAAGACCAAGACCAGGACTGGTAAAAAAAAAATTGATTTTTTAAAAATAAAAATTAAGGCAAATTATTTACTAATACTTGACAATCTTAGTTACTATATGTTAATAATTGGTTTAATCAATATACTTTTGGATTTAACTCCTCTAATTTTTCATTCGGGGTTAGTTAGGTTCCTCCTATCTAAAAAATTACAGTAATATCTCTATATTAATAAGCTAATAAATAACTGCAAGAATGTTGCGAGACTCTTTCGCAAGACCAAGACCATGACCAAGCCTGAGTTATTTCATATTAATTAATACTTTATAACATAATAGGTGGTAAGGGCTGCGGCTTGCGAATGTTAAGTAGTTTTAACTTTTTAAGTTGTAAGTAACATATCCAAGGGGCTTCGAAAGTATTATATAACTGATGACTGATGATCGTAATGGTAATGTGTGAATGAAAAAGCGATAAGGATTACTAACACAACACCCGACTTTCAAAAACAACTTCATTTTAGGTATGCAAATTTTTCTTGGATATGCCTAATAAATATTGCCATCTATTCGGACTAAATTATTTATTATTCTTTGTTAAGTAAACTAATTTTAAATCTATTTTTAGATTTATTTCCAAAAAAAAAGACTGGTTTACCTTTTTTTTATAATTATCTTTGCTGATCTCCACATTAGTTTCCATTTTAACAATAATTTCTTCCTAGATTAAACGAGATGAAAGTTTCTAAAGAATATCTATGAATTGTATGCAATTTATTACTTTCACTTACTTATATATGAAATATTTAGCAAGGGTAAATATTGTGATCGTGAAAATTTTCGAATTTGATTTTTCAACGAAAATACATGTTTTGAGATCTCCTGAGACCAAATAACCAAGTCTTGCAAAATGGTCTCTGTGCGTATGTATGCGGTCAATCTAGCTCAAAAACGAAAAGTCATACGAAACTGATAAGAGGGATTTAAGACAGGTAGGTATATGACTCAGATGTGACAGCGACGTTTTCCTTAAAATCGGCTAACCGGAAGTGCTACTTTATACCAACGGTGAAACATATTTTTACAATTTTTTCAAAAACGGCTCTATCGATTTTGGTCAAACTCGATGTATCATTTTAAAATTAAGTGGTCTTTAATATCATTTAGGTCTTATCACAATTGGGTCTTATCAGATTTTTTTTATATGCCTTCAATTACAACGGACATCCCTGCTTTTATAAAACCTTCTAAGGTCGAATACATTATAAAAAAAGTACCAATATTTTTATAGCAGATTTAATTTTATTTATTTCTAAATATATAAATTTGATTTTAATTTATAGTGAATGGATTTTTTTATACTACCCATATACATGTTAGTTGGAACTATATACATATTTATAAAACTACATGGTATATATTTAAAAATATTTGTGCTTCATATACCATCAAAATATCGGCCAGAATATTTAAACTGTAGAACGACACTTGAGGCAGGGGGTCCTACTGGAATGCTTATTTTGTTTCAGATCTATTTTCTCTTTTCTGAATAAATTAATAAGTAATGTTAGTGGTGAGGATATATAGAAGGTATTTTTTTATGATTATCCATTTACATTTTGGGTTTTTTTTTCTTAACCCCGATGATTAAATATGGGACCTCTTTTACTGCACAAGGTATATTTTAAGAGAGGGGTGGGGAACTGGGAGTATTGCTATTGTAGTTATAAATGAATGAATATAAAACTGTTTTATTCTGGGACTACAGTCCCCTAAGAATAATAACAATGCTACAAATTAATATCAGTCTGGCTTAAAATAATAAAAATACAAACTAATTAACTGCCTATTATTATTGCAATTGTGCAGTAGATTGAAAATTAAACATTATACAGAAACAAGTAATTTTACATGTTAGCGTAAGTTCGAATGTGGGGTAGGTGGTAGTACAGGAGTTGTTTAAAGGAATTTGTGGACGAGGATTGATGTATAGTGATAGGAAGAGAGTTCCAAAAGGAGGTAGCACAAATGACGAACGATTCGCTGAAGGAAGTAGTTTTATGGGATGGGATATATATAAATTTATAGGTTGAGACATAGTATTAAGAGAGTGGACAGAGGAGCGTATAGTAAGGAGTTCCAGGATGCAGGGAGGTTTTTTGGTTCTGAGGACTTGGAAATGAAAAATACCAAGGAGGAATTGTCGTCGGGAAGTATGATAACGCCACTTTAACTCGGTGTACCAGAATGAAACATGCGCACGGAAATGTATCTTATGAAAAAGTTCATGTGCTTCTTCAGTCTCATTCCTATAATGGTAGATAACCCCCATACACCAAACAGCCGTAGTCGAAGTAGAGGAATAAAAGGGAGGTTACAAGGAGCTGTCTGGTTTTTAGAGGGATACAGTAACGGAATCTTTGGAGTTGTTTAAGGACAGTTATGGATTTTCGGGTAATCTGGGAGATATGGTTATTGCAGGAAAGATTACTCCTTTGAAAAGTTTCGGCTGTAGGGAAAAAATGGATGGAACGGTCATTGAGGTAAACTAGAGGAAAGTAAGCAAGGGATCTAATGAGATGTCTGGACCCGATGAGAATCGCCTTAGTTAAGGGTAAGTCTTAGTCAAGTGAAGGGGCCCATCATGTTGGGTGGAAGTACATTACTTGTAGATATATACAGTACTGCAGTTATATATAGTGTATAGTTACATAAAGTGTATATATATATACACTGGTGTAGTTATACTGATCAGATCAATCTTTGATTAATAATTACTAAGAACCTTCCAAGTAGTGAACTCTCAACCCTCTTGTTTAAGGGTAATGGGTTATTTTACTTTTATTTATTTACTACAAAAAAATAGTACATTAATTGGTGATAAATCAATATGGTTACTTAACGTGACTCGATATATTTGATTTAAATTAAAGGAAAGTACTATGGTATCAATGGGAATAGGAATAATGAGTGCATTTGAACAGTTTAAAATAAACAAATAATTAGTAAAATCGGAAGTTGAAAAATAAATATATGCCATATCCCCCATTCACCAAACTATTAAATGCTTAGACATATTCATAGGCATTCATAAACATTATTATGATGGTATACTTAAATACCATTGAATAACCGCAAATATTTGACAAATATGGATATTAGCTGATCCTTACCGCCTTAGTGATAATAGATAAGGATCAAAAAAGTTTAAAACATTGAAGTACCTTAGTGTATTTCGGTATGGACGTTCTAGGATGAGTACAATTATTTTTACCAGACCTATTTCTAATTTTCATCCCTTTTTACTTTCAATTATCCATTTGTAAAGTTTAAAGTAAAGGGAAGTATTACAATAGTAAAAAAAAATAGTTCTAGAACGTGAATATTTAATTGGAAGAACAGGGTAGAAGAAGCAGTTCCATTGAAAATGCACCAAGGCGACTTTTTCCATAAGACAATAATTAATTCCCTATTAATTTACAGAAAATAATTTCTACTCAAAATATATATTTATTTAATTAGTTACAGTTTAAGTAAGTTGTAAAACAATAAATGTAAGAGACACCGTGTTCATGTTACATAATTTAAATTAATGTATAAAGTTTGCTGTTTTTCAAAAATGGAGTAAGTTCTTCTGATATTCCTGTGTCAAAGCTTTGCATTGGCTTCGGAGGCTTAGCGAAATTCTACAGAAATGCAAGCGCTGGGAATTTTCCATTATGTGTTCAATGGCCAAATGTGTGTTATAACTACTCCATCTTGGAGAAGGATTCCCTTGAAGGAGGTACACATGGGTCAATCTAGTTTGTTTTATTCTGTCTAGAAATTATAGTTTGCTTCAGACGGTTCTCTAATATAAGAGGCAGTGGTTCTGTGTCTTCATAAATTTTCTTCATTTTATTAATATTTGGAACCTTGGAACAAAAGTAGCGACATGTTTTGATCCATCTAAGTAAATACAAATAAATTCATAATAAAAGGTTTTAACTTTTTTTTTTTTTTTTTTTTTTTTTTTTTTTTTTTTTTTTTTTTTTTTTTTTTTTTTTTTTTTCCTACCCCCCAGGAATTTCTTGAATAAATTCAGTGTGTATATAAATGTATATATACATAAATTTTCAACTTTCCTTTTATTGCCCAAGGGCATTTTAAGTTAAGAGGGCTCTGCTCGCTGTATGCGTTCTTTGCATCTGTGGCCAGAGGCCTTTTATTATACCACTGGGCGTGGAGGGACCGCCCTGCATTAATTTATTATTTATATTATTGTTAGTGGGTGTGAACTACAGAGTCCAAACCCCTTCCCTCGGCGAGAACATCAACCAAGGGGACTTTACCTTGCCACCTCCCAGGCCTGGGCGGCGGTACTATTTCCTGGAAAAGCGGGTTAGCACAGACCTTCAGCCCATCGAAAAATTTGACGTGTCTTCGGCCTATGAACTCAGGCACCGATGGGAGCTGAAGCTCCTCTCGGATCTTTACATTCTTTGCCCTTTGCAGGGTGGTACCTCTGACTATTCGCCGAAGGATGGAGTTTTGATAACTCTGGAGTTTCTTGAGCGTGGACTTATACAGGTGGCGGAGCAACGGTGCACCATAGAGCAGCGTAGGCCTGATGACCGCCTTGTAGATTTGCAGTTTTAGTCTCAACGAGAGCTGCGGCGACTTTAGCAGATGGTAGAGCCTATACTCCTTTTTCCGAGCCAGCTTGAGCCTCTGGTTGACGTGACTAGTAAAGGTGAGGTGCCTATCCAGAGTCACGCCTAGGTAGAGGACTGAGTTGGAGATCCGCTGGTCCACTCCACCAATGGTGAAGTGAGTGGGCAGGGGCTTCTTTCCTTGCTGAAATGACATCACTATGGCATCGGTCTTATTAGGATTTACCTGTATGCCGTTCTTCTCAAGCTCCTTGACGATGGTATCTGTGGCATTCTGTGCTTTCATGAGAGCTCTCTCTGCGTTAAGGCTGGATGCATAGACTGCGATATCGTCAGCATAGGCTGCTACCACCGCTTCTGGATGTTTAAGTGCCACTACTGGCGCCGTGAAAACGACGAACAGTAATGGCCCCAACACAGACCCTTGAGGTACTCCACACGTTGTATCGACTGGGTTCGAATAGTCATTACCAACTCTTACGACGAAAGTTCTTCCACTGAGGTAGCTTCTGACCAGACGACATAGCGGGGCTGGGAATTTGTACTCTTCCAGTCTTCGAAGTAACAGCGCGTGAGACACGCAGTCAAAGGCCTGGCTGCAGTCCAACGAGATGAGTGCCGTAGCTTTGTTGTGATTCATCTGCTCTATGGTGTGTGCCTGAAGTTTAGCCAGATGATGTTCACAGGCGACTCCGCGTTGGAAACCGGTTTGCTCTGGTGGTATAACGTGCTCTTCCTTGCAGTGACTCAGGAGATGATAATGAATCAATCGCTCAAAGACTTTGCTGACGTGCGGGAGGAGGCTGATCGGGCGATAGTGGTCAGTCATGTCTCCTTTCTTCCCCGGCTTGAGTAGTGGCACTACGATGGCATGTTTCCAGACTGTAGGGAAGTAAGATATCCGCAAGCATGAATTAAAGATGTTCAGAAGGAAGGCTTTACCCTTCCTTGGGAGCATCTTCAGTAGAACATACGGGATATCATCATGTCCCGACGCCTTGTTTCCTTTGATACGTCGTAGTACAGACTCAAGCTGGTTAAAATTGCAGAATATGGGCTTCTCAGTGAGTCCAGGTGATGATCTCTGCTGCACCGGTGGGGAGCTTCTAGTTCGCTCAGCATCCCTTGCTGCATAACTTTTCGCCAGGTGTTCAGCCTGTTCCCCAGTTGTTAGTAGCGCGTCTCCTGATGTCAGATGCACGCTTCTTTTCTTACTAACGAAGGTTCTGACAAGTCGCCAGAACTGACGGTAATCGTCATGAGTCCTTCGTAACTGCTCGTGCCAGAGTGATGTCTTCCAGTCGCTCATGAGTCTTGCTATCTGCCGGGTCATCGCATTGATGGCCGGTTTTAAGCTGTAGTTACGAGTGCGCTGGAAAACGTTCCTTAGGTTGTTTCGCTGTCTGATCAGAACTAGGATGTGCCGTGGAGGTCTTCTGATGGCGTTGGGCTGTGGAGCAAACGTGGGAATGTTCCGTTTGGCTGAGGCTTGGATGGTGGTGGTGATGACATTTACAGCATTATCCACCTCATCTCGGGTTCTGCATGGTGTAACTGCTGGTAGTGTTTCCTCAACGCAAGATCTGTATCTCTTCCAATCGGCTTTATGAAGCAGATATTTGCTCGCGGGTGGAGTGGCGGGTGTGCCCTCAAATGTGTATAGCACCGGCCGGTGATCTGAGGGTCCATACGGTAGTGCGTGGCAATCCGTGATGGTGTGCAGATCCCTGGTGAGTAGAAGATCTAGCGTAGAGGTCCACTCAGGTCGGGCTGCATGCCTGAAGGTGTGAACACCCGGGTGGAAGACGGCGAGCCTGGTCTTTGTGATGTACGTGCCCAATGGGTTGTTACTACCACACAGCCAGGAGGTGTGTCGAGCATTTAAGTCCCCAAGGACAACATACCGACTTCTTGCCTGGGCGTGTTGTAGTAGTAATTTCACTGACGTGAGAACCGCCCTCGGTCTCCTATAGACACAGGTGAACCTGTACCGATGTTTAAATCGCACGTCTACTGTGACTATGTGAGTTCCCTCAGTAGGTTCCACTGGGTTCGTGATGATCTTCGAAGGGACATCTCTTCTGACCAGTATAGCAACGCCTTCTGTCGACCCGCGTGAGCAAACCTCCCGGTATACAGTGTACCCATGGAAGTATAGTCGAGACGAGGGGGCATCAATGTGTCAGTCAGCGCCATCACCGATGGTCTGTGTTGCTGCAGGAAAAGCTCTACTTCAGCCTGCTTCTGTGCGAGGCCTCTGATATTGTAGGTGCAAACTAGGTGCTCAATCATGTTTTTGTTGGCTCAGCACGGTATTAAGGAGGGTTGTGATGAAGCCCATCATCTGGTCTAACCTCTGGAGCATTCCTTCGACGAGCCTGATGAGCGTTGATTGTTCATTCTTTTTAGACGGCTGGGCTGCTTCTAATGGTGTGGCAGACGGGTGGGGAGAACTCTGGGGGAAGTCATGGTGATGGGGGTGAGCGGGCTGCTGTGATTGGCTGGTTGATCCGCCAATCACCGCTGAGTATTCTAACCCCGACTTCACTAGTTGACTTGGTTTCCGTGTAGGGGTGGCGTGGTTATCTCCTCTTTCTTCTTCTTTTGGTTTCGACGTTGGTCAATAATCTTCTTTCGGTAGGAGCATTCTTTTGAAAACGCTGGATGGTCTCCTTTGCAGTTTGAGCAATAAGGTTTAACATTCTTGGGGCATTGTGCCAGCAGGTGATGATCTCCGCACCATGCACAATGACATGTACGGCCACAGTATTTCATTGTGTGGCCGTATTCCTGGCAGTTTCTACATTGTACAGGTCCAATATCTTCTTTAAAGGAGGTCACTCTAAATTTGATCCTGTTGATAGCTCCAAGGTTTCGTATATCTTCTATTTTTACAAAATGATCTACTATTATCTGAATGGCTTCGATGTCATATCTTTCACCATTCGGGGCTTGTTTTGTTAACCTTCTAGCGAGTCTGAAGCCTGGTAGTACTCTTTTTAACTCATCGATTATGTCTTTGACGTCGTAATCTACATCAAAGCCATAAAGGACAAATTTTTGGGTTCTTTTGGTTCCACGCGGGGCAAAGGTGTGGAATTCTACCTTTTTCTCACGTAGAAGTGCCTGGAGAGCTGTGTTATGATCCACCTCAGTAGCAAGGTACAATCTGGTTTCTTGCTTAGAAGAATTGGAAGAGTATTCCTCTATGTTGAGCTCTCTTAGTAGAATTCTCAGCGATGTCAGTGAAATAGGTGGCTTGATTATGATGGGTGGAGGCGGTCGGATCTTTTCATTTTGGGTAACATCTGGTTCCTGGGGCGCAAGAGCCTCGTAGCGGTTTGAAACCGGAATTCCAACAGGTACGGTGACCTCTGCGCGGCCCTTTATCTGGTGTCGCTTTGGTGGCTCTTGGTAAACTTCGGCACCTCCTGATCTTTTCTCGCCCCTCGCATCCTCCTCAGCCTCCATATGGGTGTCGTGGGAGGCCATCACGTTGGGGTCTCCTTACCAGAGCGATGCTGCCCGTTTAGCTGTCAAGGTTAGTTCCAAGTGATATGAATGGACCCCAACAGCGTAAAGGCGCAATCTAAGTAAGGAGCTGGCAATCTGGCAATAGAAATCTTCAGTAGAGGTCCTGCTTCTGCTGCCAGCTAGTAAAATAACTGTTTGATGTGTTCGTGTGGTTTATCACCACCACCAAAAATATTTAACAACACAAACGCTATTAATTGCACGGGTAGAGCAATAGTAATAGCGTGAAAAGGCTTGTGTGACAGTGTTTGGAGGCTCAGTAATTTTAGATGGGGAAAGCGATCTGTGAAGACTGGAATGTTTAAATGTGGGAAGCGGTGTTTAAGGGCTAGAATTGCTGGACGATTTGAAGTGGGCGCAGCAGTGTTTGAAGGTCACAATTTTTGAGCGATTTGTTATGAGCGAGGCAGTGTTTAAAGGCTGAAATTTTTGGCGGGTGGTGGGCGCCGCCATCTTGCACCGAGGACCTGCGCCAGGATTGGTATATTCTATCTACTAAAATGATCTACTATTATCTGAATGGCTTCGATGTCATATCTTTCACCATTCGGGGCTTGTTTTGTTAACCTTCTGGCGAGTCTGAAGCCTGGTAGTACTCTTTTTAACTCATCGATTATGTCTTTGACGTCGTAATCTACATCAAAGCCATAAAGGACAAATTTTTGGGTTCTTTTGGTTCCACGCGGGGCAAAGGTGTGGAATTCTACCTTTTTCTCACGTAGAAGTGCCTGGAGAGCTGTGTTATGATCCACCTCAGTAGCA